TGGTAATGCATTCATAAAGTCTTGAAAATGATCAGGAAATACATCAGCAAAATCATCCGTTGATGGCCAGTCCTTTAAATAATTAATAACAAGAATAATTAATAACAAATAATCTTGAATATATAGTCAGAGTGCATTATAATGTTGTATTTTGAATAGCTGCCTACTGCTTTAGACATACAAAATAGCACCTGGCCAGAGTTAACGCATGAAGATCTAAATGTATGGCTTAATTTCGGTCAGGTGTTATTTCAGATGTCTAATACGGCTATTTCGGATAGATAGCTACTCCAGATACAACAATTATACTATTATATAGTCGCCCTACCTTTAGCTTTAGGCACGGATATTTTCCTTTATAACTGAAACGAGCGCTGATATCCTCAAAACCATCAAAGAATTTTTGTACATCCATTGCGTGAGTTAAACCAGACCTACAATCCACACATTCGCATTGTATTTCACCGTATTTAGTTTTAAAGTATTCGGGTGTCCATAGTTGGTTCGTTAGTCGTGTAGATGTTTCCTTTAGCAAGAATGGATATCCTTTCTTCCAAAAATCTTTGAAAATTTCTTCTGTAAGCTCATCTTCTCTCCATTCTATTTTTTGGTGATTATCATGGGGCTGTTGAGGACGATCGTGTGGACGGATAGCGGTAGGCGGTAACTCTGGCGTAGGATTCATCTCCATCGGTGGAGGGATCGTAGAATCAAGATTCATCTCCATCGGTGGATGGATCGTAGAATCAAGATTCATCTCCATCGGTGGAGGGATCGTAGAATCAAGATTTATCTCCATCGGTGGAGGGATCGTAGAATCAAGATTCATCTCCACCGGTGGAAGGATCTTAGAATCAGGGTTCATCTCCATCGGTGGAGGGATCGTAGAATCAGGATTCATCTCCATCGGTGGAGGGATCGTAGAATCAAATGGTTCAATTTTAGAGATAGGCCCTTGCTGAGATTCTTGCTGAAATTCTTGCTGAGACACTTGTTGAGATTCTGGCTGAGACACTTGTTGAGATTCTTGCTGAGACACTTGTTGAGATTCTTGCCGAGATTCTTGCTGAGATTCTTGCCGAGATTCTTGCCGAGATTCTTGTCGACATTCCTGTCGACATTCCTGCTGAGATTCTTGTCGACATTCCTGCTGAGATTCTACATGAGGTGAAGATTTAGATTCTAGTATTACAGTTTTAATTCAGAATTAGGTTGTGTACCTGAAATATTGCCCTCTGGCATTTGGTGAGGTTCCGAAATAGGTAATTCATCAGGTAATTCATTATCACTAAATTCGTCGATGTCCATACTATCCCCATTGTCAATCATTCTTTGCTCAGTTTCATTTAAAATGCGTTGTATTATATCCTTATTGTAATGATATATAGGCACCATTTGTTCTTTATTGTGAGACCGCCTGAAGCTACACACAATGGTCCTTGATTTTTTGCTAACATCCCATTCATCATAGCAAGATAAACAAAATTCTTTACCACAAACACAACACATCCAATACCCGCTAAATATAGTAGTCTCACAACTATCACATAATTGACATATCTCCCTATTAGGGAGTTTGCGAAGGTTTGCATACTCAAAGTGAGCAAGTTCTTTTTTAAGAATCTTTCTAAATGTTGGGGCTATCATATCTTGCATTTCAAATAATAAAACAAATTTTAGGTAAATGGCATATAAGCACGTTAATGATAAAATCTTTTCGTAGGACTTTACCAAGAATGTAGCCCCGTTGCTCGTCTGTTGTTTCTTTAAAATCATAGTTATCATCTGGATCGGGAATAGTGACTGATTGAAATTTTGGACCATAAACAAGTTCATCCTCCATTTCAGAGTCTTTCTTGGTTCCAAAAATTCGAAAATGTATAAATCTGCACGTGTCAGTTTTCTTTGCTAAGCCTTAAATATGCAGGAAAATATAATTATGTTAATTTAAAAACGCTTTTAAAAAGAAAAACAAAAAAAAAAAAAAACCTACATGATGCACAACGCTCAAAATCACCATATGCAGCATTCATGCACCGTCTGGATTGTATATGTGGGACACCCGGCACTTCACGAGGATACTGCGGCTCAGTTGTCACTAAAAATTTTCTTGACTTACTTTTATGACGTTTAGCATTTGGTGCTTCATCATTGTCACTTGACGCAAATGATTTACGTTTAGGTTTCCCCTTTCGTTTCGGTCTCTCTTGCATATTTATAGCTTGTGGTGATGGTGAATTGTTTCTATTTGGTACAGCTTTATAAGGACAAATTGGTATCAAATCATAGCATCAATAAAAAAGGAAACAAACTTCGAGTTACGCCGCCGTTTCGGCCTCCGATTTTCTTTTATTGAAGTATCTGGAATGATTTCTGAATTTTAAACCATTAAAGAAAAAACGATGTGATATTTATTAATATTTTTTATTAAAGATGCTAAAATATATACATGAGTGTCGCTAAAAGAAAACCCGAAAATTTAAATATGAATTATATTTAAATTTTCGGGTTTTCTTTTAGCGACACTCACATATATATGTATTTTTTTATAAATTATAAAGGACTGGCCATCAACGGATGATTTTGCTGATGTATTTCCTGATCATTTTCAAGACTTTATGAATGCATTACCA